TGAACCTAACTTCTCTGTTTGAAAAAGAAAAAAGCCTGCTCGGTCACTACCAGTGAGGGCTTTGGTTTCCACGTGGACTCCAGAAGGCAATTTCCCCACCTAGGGGCAATTGGTGGGGCTTCTCCAGACCTCTCTGCTGCCACGTGGCTCTGTGCTTTCTTGTTTGCATAATTCAGGATAGGACCAGATGGTAGGTTGAGCACCACATAAGGAATTGTTCTGTGTATGAATAAGTGCCTACTTAGTGTGTAAGTGGGTTATTAGTGATCCGAAGTGACAAAATTCAAAACAACACACAACAGCCATTTGGCACAGCTGTGTCCATCTAGACTTTGCTTGCTAAGAAACCCATTGTCACATGCATTTCGACAGCTATCAGCAAATGTCAACTTCTCTGCACTTACCTCTTTGAAAATAAGAAGAGCAATGTAAAATTTACAAAGTCCTGAAAGCAGGCATTGTAACATTTGCTCCTTATCATACGCCTCAGGGGATGGGCCAAGTAACCCGGGCTGTACAACCAGTTGAATGTGATTCTGGCACTGAAACCCACAGGCCAGAGGAGAAGCCAACAAAGTCTCTAGTGAGGGCTGTGAAATCAGACAGAACTGGATGTGTCCCTGGGCCATCCTAGCTCCTAATAAGACAGCTTGAGGCACACTGCGGGTGACACGGTACCTCAGAGGGTCATCCTCAATATGGAATCAAACTGCGGGCGCAAAGGGCCTACTGGAGTAGGTGCTGAACAAGGTACCTGTCCCTCCTGACCACTGGCCACCCAGTAGAGCCCCTGCCCTCTGTGTGACTTCTGGTTGGGCTGACTCTGCTGCCACAGGGTCTGCTGGGAGCAGTGTCTTAATCACCAGGCTTCAGAGGCACTGTGCTATCTTTGAGGGGACAACCCACCTGAGCTGCTGTGAACTGTTTCTTTCTTTTCTCTATGCTTGAATCAATTTACCACCATATCTGAAATCCGATTGTACCAGGCTTAGTCTGCTGCTTCTTTGGAAACTACAGTATCAACATGGGTAGCTGTTTCTCTCCCTTCTTAAATTCCTCTTTCTCCTACTCACAAAATATGTTTCCAAATATTATTCTCATGCCTGATGTAAGTGGTACCATTTGAGGAGTATATGCTAGATGAATGGTTCTTTCCAGATATCTGAAGCTTAATCTTTGGGTAACCAAAGTTTTGGGGGAAAATTACCCACTTTCAATGGAAAATTTTGTCACCCACAGGGCACAAACTCCCCTTTTTGTGGAACAGCTCACACCTTTCTGGGTGATGCAGGACGGTCTCCATGAGGACTGGCTCTTGTTGCCTCCATCTCGGGTGATGGGGTGGGGTGGCTGACAAGAGGGCTGCCCTGAATGGGTTCCCCCGCCCAGGGGGCTCATCCTACGTGGCTGTGGTGTCACTGTACCCCCTGGCAGGTCTCCATGGGGATTCAGCAGGTGCCCTTTACTCCCCAGTCCTGGAAGCCCACTTCTACTCCAGTCCCCTGTGCTATGACCCAGCAAGATGTAAACTTTCCTGGAGGCACGGAAGGGCCAAGCTTGTTAAGTCAAAAAGCTGGAGTTTGTGCATCATTCCCATTTAAAAGCCTGTTAGAATTCTCCATACCTCTTCTGAAAGCCAAGGGTAGATGGTTTGTGATAGTTATTTTCCTGCTAACAAAATCTTTTATTGAGAAAAGAAGAATCAGGGCAGCACCTGTGGCTCAAGGAGTAGGGTGCTGGGCCCATATACCAGAGGTGGCAGGTTCAATCACAACCACTTTTTTTTTTTTTTTTTTGTAGAGACAGAGTCTCACTTTGTTGCCCTTGGTAGAGTGCTATGGCATCACAGCTCATAGCAACCTCCTACTCCTGGGCTTAAGTGATTCTCTTGCCTCAGCCTCCTGAGTAGCTGCGACTACAGGCGCCTGCCACAACACCTGGCTAGTTTTTTAGTTGCAGTTTGGCTGGGGCTAGATTTGAACCCACCACCCTCGGCATATGGGGCCGGTGCCCTCCTCACTGAGCCACAGGCACCACCCTACAACCACTTTTTAATAGAGTTTTTAATAACTTCACAAATGTGGAGAGAATTGTGTACTGAAGCCTGCACACCCTTCATCCAGCTGCACTAATCATCAATATTTTCCCAACCTAATTTTATCTCTCTCATTCTTCCACTCTTTTTCTGTTTTCATTTTTGCTGAATGTCTTAAACCAAATCTCAGGTTTCCCATTATTTTACTCATAAAAACTTCAGTATGAGTCTCCTCTAATGAGATAAAGACTTTTAAAAATATAATAATCACGCCCTGAAAGCCTTACAGAGACGCGGGCTCTGCATCTCAGCTGGCCATGGGTAAGTCTGGTCTTTGTGATCTTATTATGTGAGATTTCTGAGGTCTTTTTAGGGCGATCAGCAAAATCCTTTTACTTTGACATGATTTCAAACTCATAAAAGATTGGCAAGACTAGTGCAAAGAATCCCCATATATTCTTCATCCATATTTCCCAAATGCTAACATTTTACCACATTGGCTCTACCCTGCTCTTTGTAAGTTCCCCTATATTGTTAGCATGTTGGAAACGTGTGCCCTAACAGTGCTATTATGTAATGACAGTCCAGGAAACGAACACAGAGGCGCTGCTGTTATCTAATCCACAGACACTGTGGAGATTTTCCCCAGTTGACCCAAGAATGTCCTTTAGAACAAAAGAGAATCGTGAATTAGGTCAGTTGCCGAGCCTCTTCCGTCTTCTTTAGCTTGGAGCAGTTGCCAAATCTTTGTGACAGTATTTTTGGAAAACTTTCACAAATAATTTTGTAAAATGTCCCTCAATTCAGAATTATCTGATATTCCGCATGATATAATTCAGGTTATGCTTTCTTGGTAGGAGGACCACAGAAGGCATGTTTTGTCCTTCCCAGTTCATAACATAAGGAGGCAGATTATGTTAATTTGTTCTGTTATTGGTGGTGTTAACTTGGGTCACCGGATTAAGATGAAGTCTACCAGGTGCCACCACTGTAAAATTACTCTTTTTCCCTTTATAATTAGTATCTTATATGGTGATACTTTCAGACTATGTAAACACCTTGCTGCTTCAAACTCTCTCTTCCATAATTTTAACACTTATTTCTGATGCTTGTCTGAATTGGTACTTGTGATGGTAGTCAAATGTGATTTTTAAAGTATATTATTTTAAAATATGTTATTCTTTTACAATTATTAGTTGGAAAGACTAATTATAAGGAAAACTTTTCTCTTCCCTTCATTCCTTTATGTCAGTAGACTCATGATTCTTAATTTTTAAGATAGGTTGCAACCCTTTACTTTCATTATTTGTTTTGATGCCCAAATGCTTCAAGACTCAGCCGCTGGGAGCTGCTCCAGACTACCCCAGGCCCTTTGACACGTCCCCATCATTCTTTGACCACTTTTTTACTTTCTGGAATGACACAATGTTGTAGTCTTGTCTCACTTTTTTTTTCCTGCCCCAGTCCCATAATCTTCCATTTCTCCAAGGAGCCCTGATTCCTCCTAGTGCAGAATGGCATTGTATAACTAAGATTTGGATACTAGGGAAGCTCCCTGCTACTGGGGTGTCACTGACTTTAGGCCACCTAAAAGTGGATAGAATTGGACAGTAGATGTTCCACACACACTTACTCACCTATATCTATCTATCTAAACATGATGGAGTTTTATTGTCTTAGGATGGTAGACTTTCTAATCCAGTGCCACAGGGTCTATTGTGTTCCTTCTCTTTCCATAACTGTGACTTCATTCTCGGATAGTGAGACACTTGACTCCCCCCACCCGCAGTCTACTTAGCCCTATGCTCAATCTATGAATCTTCAGAAACCCATTTCAGAATTGCTAGCCTTCCCTGCTGTGATGAGGAGGTCTGCTGACTACAGTCGAACATTTGTTTAAAGCTCTTTTTGATTTTGGCCTGAGGACACAGCAGTCTAAATACTATGCTCAAATGTTACTGGGTTAATTTTTTCCCTGGATAATTATGTTATTCAAAACTGCCGTGTGAGGTCAAGTCACAAAGATGACTCAGCAGCAGGCTGCTCAGGAGAGCTTCAATCCTAAGACAACCTACCTTACAAGATTTTTGGCGAGCATTGAGTAAAATGACTCTGATTAATGGATGTTGCAAAAACTATAAAATACTCTTTAAAAAATATTCTCTGCTTCTCCCATAAAGCAAATGATCTCTTGATGTCTATTCCAATAACACAGACTGAGGAGGGGGCTGGGGAACCCCCAGTGGTGCAAATCTATCCCCAGGTGTTCATCAAGTACCCACTTGGTGTCCAGGGCAGAAAACATGTAGGATGAGATTGCTGCCAGCTGTAATCACTGCAAGTTGGGGAGGATAAAAATGCAGCCTTCAGCAAGAGAGAACCCAGTGTGATCTGGGATATTCAGAGCCATGTATGCAGAGAGCGATGGGAGGAGTCCTGTACCCCACAGGAGGTCCGACTCCAGGGAGGCCAGCAGAGAAAGGCAGACAGTGCAGGCGCTTGGCAGCATCTTTTGGGTAAATCAGATCCTGTCACTTTGGTGGGATCTTTTTTTGTTGCATATTAGTTATTTCTCACAGGTAGCCTCTTATCGTGAGAGGCAGTTGTATTTAAAGACATTGGAGGTGATGAGTAGGTTGTGGAGGACCACACCTGCCCTGTCCACAGGGGATCTTGTTCTGGGCACCAGGGTCAGCAGTTAAGGGGCTACAGCAGTTCCACATCCCTTTCTGAACCATGGGGATATATTTGCCATGGAGACCACAAGAAAGCTGGGAAGGACTTGAGCACCTATCTGGTGCCCCGTGACATTGATGTGATTATTGGCATTTTACTGATGAGGAAAGTGACCCAGTAAGTGTCGCAGCTGGGATGGGAACCCCTCAGAAATAAATGAAGGCTGTGCTGGGCAGTGCAAACACCTTGCAGGAGGTTTTATTTGAGGGATGTGCTTTGGATTGCACAGGTGTCTCCATGGAAGCGATTTTGAAACTCTTTGGGGAATACTTCTTTAAGTTCTGTAAGGTGTCTGGCTATGACAGGATGCTGCGGACCCTGGGAGGAAACCTCACAGAGTTTATTGAAAACTTGGACACCCTCCACAGTTACCTGGCGCTGTCTTATCAGGTGAGGCCATTGGGGTCTTGTCTTGGCACCCCCACATTCTAGGCCATCTCCCCGCCTCTCCCAAACTGAGATGTAGCTACAAGGGAAATGTAGCTGGCCCTTGTATCTGTTGACAGTGGGCCCATGAGCTCTTTTGGGAAAGGAAAGAAAAATAAAAACCTGTTGACCTCTTTTATAAACTGGATGACAAAAATCAAAGAAGGGCAGGTTACAGAGATCCAGCTTGGGATCAGGCATGGCCTGTTCAGATGGGGGACTGGTGAGGGTCTGGACTTAAATGTAGGGGTGGGATGAAAGGCTGGGAAGCAATCAGGTTTCCAAGGATTTGCAAAAGCTCTCGTAAGGCTTCCTGGCCTGGACAGAGCTGATGAATAGCTTCTTCAGCCAGATTCATGTCATGTATGTATCTGAAGAGCCAAGAGGCAGAATTGAAAACCATCCAGCTCTGATGAGCCTGCAGGGGCCGACTAAGGTGTTAAGAAACTAATTTCCCTGCTGGGAGATGTCCTTCTGGAGTTCTCTCCTTGCTTTTCTTGTTTGTTAAGATCACTGGAAATTCAAAAGCTTAGACTCCCTTTCAGTTTTTAGACAGGAAAAGGCAATGCTTTATTACTTTACAAATATAGTCTAGTAAGGGGGAGGGAAGAAGAAGAAAAGGGGGAAGGGACTCTGGGAGGGAGACTGGTGGAAGGAGGGAGGGCATTTGGTGGGATCTCACCTAAGTGCACAAAGCAAGGGTATATTTCAAAATAACTAAAAGTAAATTTTAAAAGTCTTATAACAAAGAATAAGCAAGGTGATGGTTAATCAGTTAAATCATTCACATTGTATATCAAGTCATCGCATTGTACCCATAAATGTATACAGTTAAGATTTTAATTAAAAATTAAATTAAAAAATTTAAATGTAAAAAAAAAAAAAAGAAAAGAAGTAGTTTATAGTTCTACTTAGGGATCTTTACAGTTTGCCCAGCCCTCCACACCATTTCTAAGTTGGATGTTCACGACCACCCTGGCAGGGCTGCCGTGAGGATCGGACTGGACTGTGTGTTCAGGGCTCATCGAGCATTATGAGTCTGACCTTACAGACATGGAATGGGAGAAGTATTATTTTCTCCATTTTTCAGATAAGGACTCAGAAGTTGGAAACCTTAATTGACTTCAAGTAGAGTAAGTGGTGGGGCACGTGCTGTTGTTAGATGTAACTACTCCCTGACAGAGTGGGAAGGGCAGTGCCTGGGGGGCGGCAGGGCTGTCTCACTGGCTCTGCGACCTGGAGAGTTATCTGCTGTCTCTGAGTGTCAGCTTTTTACTTATTTATTTAATTAATATCTACTGAGTACCTACTATCTATCACGCACTTATTGATTAAGAGCGAAAAAGAACTAAACAGGAGTTTTCCTGCTTAGCCCATCTTATAGTGATGTATGGCTTAAAGGAAACGGGCCGTAAAAGTCACTAGCATTGTTACCAGCCCAGCAAAGGCACTCCATAAACATGACGCTCCTCCTCCCCTCTTCTCCTTCTCTCTATTCAACATGGCCAGTTTTAAAATTACAATAATTGGCACAACACAACAAGACAGTACTTCAGTACTCGTTCATGATAGAGTATTTTCCAATATTACATCTTTTGTCTGAAATCTAGCTAATATATTGAGTCACAGTTCTGGAGAAGAAATTCTTTCTTCATTTATTAAATGAAAAATTATGGACTATCTTTTGTGTTCCAGATATTTTTCTCACCCTGTTAGTATCACCCTGATAAATGAGAATGAAAAGAATTCAAGTTCTGAAGTCCCAAGTTCATTATTTTTATACCCAATCCCGCTACCCTTCCTCTGATGGCTGCTTCCCTCCCTAGCCCACCCTCCATGTGCCAAAGCAGTATTACTAGAAAAGTAGTACAATAGACCTTCTGTGAGGTGCTGAGGACATGTCACCATAATGAGATACATAAAATATTTAAATATTGTGGTATATAATTCAGAATAAAATACATGCCATTATTCCTGACAGCTATGATACATTATACTGGGCAAAGTACTATAGATTATCTCTTTAGGCAAAAATAATAAAAGAAAATAATGCTGATTTGTCCATTATGCCTGCCTTGTAATTAATTTGGCAGTGCCCTTAAGACATACATTTCTGGTTATAAATGAGCCTTTAATCTCGCCATTTTTTACCTAACTTTTATCGAGTGCCAATTATGAGGCAGGTGTTGAGCTAAGTAATTTACAAACATTGGCTTATCCTCTTACCCTTCTAAGCACTGGCACCCCTGTCATTAGGTGATTTTATTTTTTCTGCTATTCAGCTGAGAAAACTGAGAGATCCAGGGAGGTCAACTAACTGCCCACACACCCTGGGCATGTGGTCAGGCCAGAGCCCACAGCCAGGTATGTCTGTCAGCAAAGACCACACTCTGGGCTGTTCTCATTATTCTCCCTTTGCCCAGATTCTCCACTTTGAAAAATCCCCATTTTAATCAAGAAATAAAAATATAATTGTATTATTCAGAGAGTTGGTGTGAACTTCTGGAAGCATCTCTGGGAAGTGGCCTGGGCTGGTGTTGAAGGTGGAAGGGCCTGGAGCAGGGGCATGTGGGTTTCCCTTTCAGCTTCTCTGTGTCCTGTTACTTTATTTTCACTATGGAGGATAGGATAGAATTTTTTAATTAACTTTTATTTTCCTATTTTATCAAATGTTTTTTGTCTGTGCCACCCCATGTTCTCAAGACGTAAACTCACATACATACAAACATATATACTTTTTCTATGCATACACTTGTAGAAATATACAGTAAGTATTTGGAAGGGGGAAAAAAATAAGCCCATTTTATCAAGCAACCTCCACTGTGGAAGAGGCCAAAGGAAGGAATCCACCTCCTTGCTCCCTCCCCTCTCTCAGACCCCAGCTGTGTGTCCAGGCTGCTGAGTTGCCTGTTAACCAAGAAGAGGAAGTTGCTTTTTTTAGAGACTCCTCCAGGCAGTTTTCATCCTTCCTTCCTAATCTACATTTCACCTGCTATGAAACGGTGACACTTGAAAGCCAACATTTATTCCTAGAGGAAGAAGATTTCTTCCAATATGTCCTAATGGGTTCTCATTTACAAACGTGCAACTTAACATCACAGATGACATTATCCTTCCAGAACAAGAAATTAATTCATCAATTCCACTTGAAAATTCCTCTAAGCTTCTGATCTGTCTAAGAGAACAGATGCCAGTAGTCACTTGGTCACAGGCCAACATGGCAGAGACTCACTGAGGCTTCCTGGTACCAACTGGTTAGCCATCCCTGGAATGTGATTGGAGAGAGGTTTGGGATATAGTTCTGTGTGATGTAATGGATAGATACTATTGTTTCACAATACCTCAAAAGCATAATTTAAACAACTTGTGTCCATTGGGAAAAATGTGTTGTATTTTTCTAATTAGGAGATGAATGCACCATCGTTTCGAGTGGAAAGAGCTGTGGATGGGAAAATGCTGCTCCATTACTACTCAGATAGAAATGGGCTGTGCCACATTGTACCAGGTATGGGGTGGCCTAACCAGGCAACTGGAGAGCCTTCCAGTCAGCAAGGTCTCTCCACAAAGCCTACAGCTGGCTAATATCCCACTGTGGGTCTGACTGTACCATCTCTACCATTACTCTTGATGTCCTGGAGCTTTCCTTAAGTTCCCAACATTCCACGAAGAGCAATTTTGTTGCGATAATTCTGCATACATTATTTTGTATCAACTTTATATTTAGCATTGTAGAAAAAGCATGCTTCCATGTTTCTGCATTGTATTTAAAACCACATCTTAAATGGCTGATTTTCCATATTGTAATTATCTTACCTAATCCCCTAGTGGTAAACTTGTAGTTGCTGCTAATCTTTTGCTGTCATTAACAAGGCTGTGGCAAACATCTTCATGCATCTCCACCATATTTTCTATTACAACACTGGGATAGATTTTTTTTTTTTTTTTTGAGACAGAGTTTCACTTTGTTACCCTAGGTAGAGTCCTGTGGTGTCTTAGATCACAGCAACTGCAGACTCTTGGGCTCAGTGATCCTCTTGCCTCAGCTTCCCAAGTAGCCAGGACTTCAGGCACCCACCTCAACACATTTTTAAGACTGGGTCTCCTTCTTTCTCAGCCCAGTCTCAAACTCCTGAGCTCAAGCAATCTACCCAGAGGAACATTTTAAAAAATCTAATCCTTAATGCTTTACTGAATTTTCCTTATATGATCTCCAGAGTTCATTCGTTTAATGAGTTAAATGTCTTCCTGAAATAAAAAAGCAAATGAATAGATGATGAACTAGAAATTTGGTGTCCAGATATGTCTAACATATTTTTATTTCATTAGCTGTCCTATGCTGCCTGTTTTGAGGCCAGGCCTGGGCTTGGTGGACATTGGAATATTCACCAGGACTTGTGAAGTTTGATTGTTTTATGATTTTTGCTGACTGTCATCTCTTCCTGATAAGTGTCCTTCTGCTGCAGGTATCATTGAGGCTGTGGCCAAAGATTTCTTTGCCCTTGATGTGACCATGGAGATCCTTGACAGGAGTGAGGAAGTGGAGAGGACAGGGAAGAAGGAGCATGTTGTATTTCTGATTGTGCAGAAGGTTTGCAGGAAGATGAGAAAGGCAGCGCCAGACAGGCTACGAGGCAGCCAGGATGCCCACGGAGAGTGCCAGGTACTGGGCCCACTGTCCCCAGAAAGCACAGTACCCAGGCAGGGCGGCCAGTCGTGGGGTGATGGAAGTGAACAGCAGGATGGGCCGGTCCTTCTCCTGCGAGGTGAAGGCACACTACTCAGTCTCAGCTCTGTTGACCTCTCAGAGCAGGTAGTTCTCTGCTTGATGGACCGTGCTCTGCACCATGGGGTGTTCAGTGGCATCCCTGCTCCCCTCCTTCTGGGCCTCAGCTGTGGCAATCAAAAATGTCCCCTGAATTTGCCAAGAATCCACAGAGTGGAGAGAGAGGGTCAAATCCCTCCCCATTGAGAACTTCTGGGTTAAAGTTAACTGGAAATATACCAAAAGGCTTTCTGGGTCATATCTAGGGCTAGAAAATTTTAACTATAAAAATACTGTTATGAAGGCTTGGCTTGTAATCCCAACACTCTAGGGAACCAAGGTGGGTAGATTGCATGAAGTCAGGAGTTTGAGACCAGCCTGAGCAAGAGTGAGACCTGTCTCTACTAAAAATAGAAAAAATATAGCTGGGCACTGTGGCAAGTACCTGTAGTCCCAGCTATTTGAGAGGCTGAGGCAAGAGGATCACCTGAGCCCAAGATTCTGAGGTTGTTGTGAGCTATGACACCAAGGCACTCTTCCCAGGGTGACAGAGTAAGACTCTGTCTAAATTTTTTTATATATTTATGTCTATATCTATAGGCATGAAGGGTTTGAAATTTGGAGCTAGTGGCGTATTTTTCAATCCCCCTAAAATAAGTTGCTGTTTCAAGTGCCCACTTCTGCAGCTGGAGACAGCCATGTGTCCAGAGTCAACTTAAGGTACTCAGCCACTTCAGTTGTGACTTGTAGGGTGACCACTGCCTGGCTATGTACCACATGTAGGGTGTACAGCTTTCTGTGTTCATGTAGCTTGTATAAATACCTAGATACAGTCTGTGATTCCTGAGAGCATTTAAGCCTATCTTCAAGTCTATTCACTGGAGAATCTTTGACCAGTGATTTTCTTGGATCATATCATCCTGGTCACCTCTTGAGATTTTTTTTTAAAAGTTATTAGTGGCTGGGTGCAGTGGCCCATGCCTGTAGTTCCAGCACTTTGGGAGGCTGAGGAGGGAGGATTATTTGAGGTCAGGAGTTCAAAACCAGCCCTGGCAAAATAGAGACCCCAGTCTCTTCCAAAAAAAAAAAAAAAGTTATTTCTGCTTTTGATAGAGAAACAGCAGATTTCCCAGAAAATAGCTGGGACTACAGGGGATTGAAAAATATGCCACTAGCTCCAAATTTCAAATTAATGAGGATTAATTAGAGAAGAAAATCTTAGGAGCCCAAAAATCTTGGTAGAGTTGATCTCATAAGTCCTCACACTGTCCCTCTGCTCCTGGACACCCCTCAGTCATGTGACATGATGCTTCTCTCCCTGCTGTCTGCAGGCCCGCCAGGCAGCTCTCCTTAGGATGAAGGAGAGATATTCAATCATCTCTGCTTGTCCTATGAAGAAATCTCCCTGGGGTGTTGTGAAAAGCATAGTCATGTTTGGGAAAGGTGAGTGGGCTGTTCTCCCAAACTTTGCTCTTACGGCAGAGCATTGGCTTCCTTCTCAAGGGTGGCAGCCAGTGGACACAGGTGGAGCCAAGCCCTCTGCGATTATGAAGTGACGATGTCTGTCGAGCCCTGGTTTTTAACTTTAAAATGTCAGACTCTACCTTGCCTTTCGTTACCCCTTTTAACTGTGCTGGGTGACATTGAGACACTGTCTGCCTCCCTGTTGTCAGGGAGGACTCCGGAGAGAAGAAAGATGGGTCCTGATGTATTTTCAGGGACGAGGAATTTCCCACAGCCCCTCTTCTGTATTCAGCCTCTCCATTAGGACGTGTGTCTGGACTGGAGATCCCTGGGTGATAACCATGGTTATCCAGTCACGCAGAGGACGTGAGATCCAGGACCATGATGAAAGTTTCCATCCCTGTCCCTGAGGAGCTGTGTGACTTTGGACAAGATCCACCAGCTCCCCAGATGAAGGCATCAGGCTTGCTAAGGTGCCCCTGTGGATACCAAACCAGTCTAACAATTAGCGCCTGACTCCCCAGTGTGGAGAATGGCTCCCACCCGCTGGGAGAGGGGAGCAGGGCGCTCCTTGTCATGGTCCCGTGGGCCAGGTGACACGCATCTGGGAGAAGGTCTGCTGGGCTCAAAGGGCTGCATTTTGTGTCCTTCAAGCCATGGCAAGTGAGTCAAATACACAGTTGACATCCTTTGTCTAGGAGATTTTCATATCAAAAAGGCTCCATTTTGAATCTCTACCCCCTGCCAAATAGGACTGTTGGCTAAATTTTCATGTGCCACCCCAAACTGTCAGTCTAAAAAGCTCCATGGCAAATGTCCCTGACGCTGGGCTCAGTGCACACGCTCTGCTCATTGTCTGGCTGTCACCATTTCAATGCAGACTCTGTGTTCCTGACGAGACATACTCAATTGGCCCAGAAACTCTTCAGCGGCGGGCAGAAACTTGGCAGGGGGCAGGAGGGCTTCTCAACCTGGTAGCAAGTTTTCTGTTTGTTTTAATTTGGAAGAAGAATTGCTGTGGCCATCTGGAGACGCTGAGGGAGCCCATGCAAAAAGCGGGGATTGCACTTTGCCTGTCAAACACTTTAGATCCTGTCCCTGTCCCCAGCTCTGCTCTGTGCGAGGGTGGTGGCAGGAGCTGCCACTCATCGGGACTTTCTTTTTCTATGTCCAGAGCATCTTGTGAACACCTTTGAGCCGGTCTATCCTGAGCGGCTGTGGATTGGAGAGGAGACATTCTGCCATGCTTTCCCGTTCCACGTTGTGTTTGATGAATCAGTAAGAGACTCTCCCTCTGCAGCTGGCAGTTGTGGATAAGCCAGGGACGGGAGCGTGATTTACAGTCTTTTATGGCTCATGGGGACTTTCAAGTCCTGGAGAGGCTGGGAAACAAGGCTTAGCCTTGCAGGACCATTGACCTCCTTGTCATACTGGGGAATTCTCCAGAAACCAGCATGCAGGATATTCTTGATAAAAATGAAAGAGAGCTTAGAAGTAGTGAATAAATGGGAAAGTTTACCATTAAAAAAGAGGGGGAAAGGAGTGACAATAAAATTCACTACATACAGAGACAAGAGAACATAGTAGCAATGAGTAGGTGGAATTCTAACTGTGACTCTCACTGTCCTTGTGGCCACCATGGACGTCTCAGTCCCACCAAACCTCTCATGGGGCAGAGGTCGATTCCACTGTGCCGTGAGGGTTATGGGCAAGCCCCTTTACGTTTGGTCATTACTGATTTCCTTGGATAAAATGTGTGTCAACTGAATCAATTATGAACTCATTGAAAGGACAATCAGGCAAAACGAATTTCATCAAAATCAGTTAAAATGCTTTCACCCCTTATGATTTCCTCTGGTATTTATTTGAATCCATAAACACATTACATTATCACATGCTTTTCAACTGCCGGGCACAGAGTCTGTGACATTCATTCATTTGCGGGTGGTCTCTGCCCACAAAGAATTTACAATCTGAGATAAACAAATACCTCTATGTGAAATTACTAGGGAATTATAAAGCAATGTTTCTCAATTTTCCCCAGTGCCACAAGGGTATTATTATATTGCCACTACTTGGTATTTTAAATTCTGGGCTACTTAAAAAAACTCCCACTCTCCTTTTAAGTTTTGGGCACAGAATAATAGGAAATTTAATGATATGTATTCATTACCAAGTAAGATTGATTTCTGTAGCCTAATGGCGTCCCCATGGCCAGGGAGGCTGAGCGTTCCTGGACAGGGTGCTGGCCTTGGACATTTTATGTGAAAGGTGCTCACTTCACTTCTGTGTATTCCCTGGAGGCAGCAGTGAAAGGTGCCTCCCCAGCCCTTGGTGGGCTCCTTCACCCAGGCCTGAGTGTCAGATTCAATGCTACAGAATTTGCTAGTTTCTTCATTACTTAATGAGAGAAACAGAGAGAGAGAGAGAGGGACTTATGTCTCACAGTGCAGAGAAAGAGCTATTCGTGCAACTGAGAGCTTTAACCTCGGTTTCTCTTTAGTCAGAAATATGCTTCTGAGGGCTCCTATATTGTACTCTTCTCTTTCAGACATTAGTGCAAATATGATTATTTTAAAAAGTATTTACTTCTTCCATGGTGTTTATTCCATCACGGATCCCTTCTCCCTGTGGCGAAACACAGCCAGCCTGTTAGTTACGAGGGTAAATTTGGAGGGATGAGGCTTTCCCTTCCCCAGTCTCACTTCTGTCCTTCCTGGATAGCTGAGGATCAAGCAAGCTGGAGTGAATATTCAGAGGTTTGTGCCAGGACTCCAAACCCAGAAGGCTCGATTAGATGAGTATTTCTCCATCATTCATCCTCAAGTTACCTTCAACATTTTCAGCATCTGCAAATTTATCAACTGTCAGTTTGTCCTGAGGACACGAAGGGGAATGCTGCCTGAGACATGGAGGAGTCGGCCCAGGCTGGAACTCCGAGGTAATGACTCGCCCTCCCCGGCACCCTTCCTGTCTAGGCTGATCAGAAAGCCAAGAAGTGGAGTTTTCCAATTTCTTAACAAGTGGGGCGGGAGCTATACTGAAAACAAGTTTTTTTTCTGACATACTGGGTCTGATTTTTAAGTGATTTATTTCCTCAACCATCTCTGGTTTAAACATAAGTGAAACACACACATACACACACACACACACAGGGCACCAAAAGTATATATATGTATATATATTTTTTAAGAAAAACTGTATTATAATTTTAATACTCAAGTCACATTTAACTTTTTTTTCTTTTTTTTTTTTTTTTTGTTTTTGGCTGGGGCTGGGTTTGAACCCACCACCTCCAGCATATGGGGCTGGCGCCCTACTCTTTTGAGCCATAGGTGCTGCCTCATCACATTTAATTTTTGTAATTACAAAAGATACAAAATACAATACATAAGATAACAGATGTTATCGGTAAACATTGAGCATTACAATTTTAATACAGTTTTTCCCTTTCTTATATATACATTTTTGGCATCCTCTGTGTGTGTGCATAGTATACTTATGTCTAATTATAAAATTCTATAATTTATAATTTATGTAATTATAAAATTATGTTACCAACATTTTCAGATTGCATAAGGTACTGTTGGTATGATTTTAATGTTTGTCTTTTATACAGCAACCTGGTCATCTGACCTACAACTAGAGCACATATTTTATTTTTGTTTTAATCGTGGTAAAATCTATAGAACATAAAATTTATCATTTTAATCATTTAAGTGTACACTTCACCACCATCCACCTTCACGATTTTTTTTATCTTGTGAAAAACAGAAAAATCTGTACCAATTAAATAATGGGGACCCATTCCTCCCCTCTCCAGCCCCTGTGAACCACCGTTCTGGGGTCTGTCCCTGGGACCTTGACTACCCAGGGGCCCCATGTAACTGAAACCATGCAGTGTGTGTCCTTCTGAGTCTGCCTCGTTGCCCTTAGCATAATGTCTTCAAGGTTCATCCATGTCGTAATGTGTTAGAATTTCTTTCTTTTTAAGGCTGAGTGGTATTCCACTCTGTGTATATATCGTATTTTCTCTATTCCTTCATCTATCAATGGGACTAAGTTGCTTCCACCATTTGGCTATTACCATAAACACGGGCACACAAATGTCTCTTAGAGTCCCTCTTTACTTTGAGTACATCTGTGGAAGTGAAATTGCTGAAACATATGGTAATTCTATTTTTAATTTATGGAGGATTTCACAGCTGCTGCACCATTTTACATTGCCAACAGCAGTGCACAGGGGCTCCAATTTCTCCACATGCTCAGGAACACTTGATGTTTCTGTTTCTCTTTCTTCCCCAATAGGTGTAGGGTGGTATCCTGTGCTAGTTTTGATTTCATTTCTCTAACGATCAGTGACTTAAGCATCTTTTCATGCTATTATTAGCTATTTCTACATATTCTTTGGAATAACGAATGTCTATTTGAGTCTTTGGTCCACTTTTTAATTTGAATTTTTTTCTTTGTATGTGGTTGAATTATAGGAGTTCTTTATATATTCTGGATATTAACCCTCATCAGATGTATGATTTGCATATATTTTCTCCCATTATGTGGGATTGTCTTTTCACTCTGTTCTGTCTTTTGATACACAGAAGTTTACAATTTTTTTGTGTGTGTTTTGTTGCCTGTGCTTTTGGTGTCATACCTAAGAAATAGTTGCCAGATTCAGTGTCACGGAGATGCTCCTTCAGGTGTCACAGTTTTAGCGCTCACATTTGGGGCTCTGACTTCTGTGTGGTGTGAAGGGGCACACTTTCTGAGCTGCCTTTCCGCTAGGCTGATGATTTGGCACTTCAGGCATGAACACAGGCAGAGCTGGGGGACATTTGAGAGGAAAATGGGATGTTCGAACCCAAGCGCATTGTACCGTGGAGTGATAACAGATAAGACTGACGAGATGAGGACTTGAACTCTATCTCGCAGCCGCAAACATGTTGAAGTGTTTTTCATGGCCACACTTGAGGATTAGAATGATCACTCTGGAGGCATGTGAAGGGTGGGTCAGAGTATGGTCAAGACAGACCCCACGAGGCCAGGTCGGAGCTGCCGCAGGGCACAGCTGCCGCAGGGCACAAGCTTTAAGGTGCCGAATAAACTAAAATGCTGGCCCTGGAGTGGTCATCAGGGGAAAGACTGACCAGGTAATTAAGGCAGGACTTGTGACTGGATGTGTAGTTGACAGCAGAGAATGACTGCTGGCGACTGGGTGATGGAGGTGTGATTAACTGAGAAAGACATGCCTTAACCTCCTTGAGGGCAGGGATTCTTGTCATTTTTGAGTCACCACTGTATTGTCAATGTCTAAAACAGTGTGCTTGGCTCACAGTAGGAACTAAATGCAAGGGAAGAGAAAATAAGAGCTTTGCAGAGGAGATTAAAGGGGAGTTCAGTGCACACATCCATGAGTAAATATCTAATAGGGAGTAAGGAAAAAAACCCCACTGTTTACAGAAGTATAAATTATCACTGTCATCCTCAAGGGCCATTTGGCAAGGTATATAAAAGCTTTAAAAGCAAATCTCTTCTTTATCTAAGTGTTACATGATCACGTGTCTAGGAACAGCTATGACTGCACACACAGGCTTATCTCAGGCTTTTCACTGTGATGTTGTGGATGGAACAAGAAACTAGACATAAAATAATCCATGTTAGCTTATTATTTAAATAAGATATAGTGTAATAGCTGTAGCCAGCAAAAATGACGATGTATATCTATATTTAATGCTATAAAAGAATATCTGTTATATATTTTAAGTGAAAAATTCAGATTATAAGAAGTAGATATTGTGTAATCTCATTTTTATAATAAAAAGATATATTTTGTGTAATGCTAACAGAGAAGAATACCAAGACAGGTATTCTTGGAACACAGACATTTAAGGAACAATTTTTTTATGTAGAGAAAAAAATCAGGCAGCACCTATGGCATGCTGGGTAGGGTGCTGGCCCCATATACTGGGGGTGGTGGGTTCAAACGTGGCCCTGGCTAAACTGCAACAAAAAATAGCCAGGCGTTGTGGCAGGCACCTGTGGTCCCAGCTACTCGGGAAGCTGAGGCAAGAGAATTGCCTAAGCCCAGTAATTGGAGGTTGCTATGAGCTGTGACATCACAGCACTCTACTGGAAAAAAAAAAAAAGAAAGAAAAGAAAAAAATCAAAGAAGTAGGGGAAATCTCAGAGAGAAAGTAGTTTCAGAGAAGTCCTAGGAAGTGAGGTTTGAGGAAAGGAGTAAGGTCTGGTTAATACCATCAAATGGCAGAAGGCTTGACTAAAGGCAGGATGGAGAGGCCTGCACTGGGGTGGGCAGGTGGACGCCCTGGACACGAGGCCAGCTCGAAGTCAGGAGCAGCAGCCAAGAGCACTGGCAGGGAGAACAGGGAGATGGGACTGTGGAGGAGAAAGGAAGTATAAATAAGGTGCCTGAATTTGGCTGGAAGGGAAAGAGTGTGAGTGCAGCTGGCTGGAGGTGCGCTGTGTGGGTAGTGACTCAACTGGAGTGTTGGTCCCAGCCCCTGCTGGCCATCCTCCATCACTGCATCTCTCTCTCTCTGGATGCGAGAAGGCCAGATGATCCGGATGGAGTCCACGCGCTGCTTCCTGTACCTGTGCTCACCCAAGCTCCGCAGCCTGCAGGAGCTGGAGGAGCACGGGATGCACCTCTCCGACATCGCCCCACACGACGCCACCCGAGACCTCATCCTCCTGAACCAGCAGCGGCTGGCTGAGATGGAGCTGTCCCGCCAGCTGGAGAGAAAGAAGGAGGAGCTGCAGGTCCTCTCTCGGCACCTGGCCATCGAAAAGAAGAAAACAGAGACCCTGCTCTATGCCATGCTGCCGGAGCACGTGGCCAACCAGCTGAAGGAGGGCAAGAAGGTCGCTGCAGGTGAGGCCCCTTCCCACACAGCTCCTAGGGCAAGGTGGCAAAGCCCTGAAGCCAGACAGAAGCTGCTTTGAATTTTGACTGTCACTTGTAAGCGACATGATTTGGGGCTGCTCACTTCATCTGTATCCCCTCAGCTTTCTTCTTTGTTCATTGAGAGTAAGAATGGAAGGCCAGGCTGCTGGCTCACACCTGTGATCCCAGCACTCTGGAAGGCCTAGGATTGCCTGAGCTCAGGAGTTCAAGACCAGCCTGAACAAGAGCAAGACCCTGTCTCTACTAAAAATAGAAAAACCAGCCAGTGAGACCCTGTTTCTACTAAAAATGGAAAAAAAAAATAGCCAGGTGTTACAGCAGGTGCCTATAGCCCCAGCTACTCTGGAGGTTGACAGAAGGATCACTCGAGCCCAGGAGTTTGAAGGTCTTGTGAGCTATGATGACACAGCACTCTATCCAGGGTGACAGAGTGAGACTCTGTCTTAAAAAAAAAAAAAAATGAGTAATATTCAGGAGTGATATATGGATTATATATGTATAAAAATGTCTGTCAACCACAGACACATTAGGTTCTCCAAACGGCAGTCCCCAACTTTTTTGGCACCAGGGACTAGTCTCATGAAAGATAATTTTTCCATGGCCTGGGAGGGGTGGTGGTGGTGGTTTCAGGATGATTCAAGCACATTACATTTCTTATGCACTTTATTTCTATTATTTTTGCCTTGCAATATATAATGAAATAATTATTCAACTCATAATGCAAAATCAGTGGGAGACTGAGCATGTTTTCCTGCAACCAGATGTTCCCATCTGGGAGTGATATGAGACAGTGATGCCCAAAGTGTGATCCTCAGCTCCCCTTCAGATCCCAGGCATTAAATTCTCATAAGGAGTCTACAACTGGATCCCTCCCAGGTACAGTTTACAGTAGGGTCAGTGCTCCCAGGAGAATCTAATGCTGTTGCTGATCAGATAGGAGGCGGAGCTTAGGTGGTGACGTGAGTGACGGGGAGAGGCTGTAAATACAAAGGGGGCTTCACTTGCTCACCCACCGCTCACCTCCTGCTGTGTGGTCTGGGGCTCAGGCCCCAAACCTCTAAGAATTTCAGGGTATGTTCTGAGACTGGCCTCATTACTCAGTGACTATAAGTAAGGTTCTTTTTCTTTCTTTCTTTTTTTTAGAGATGGAGTCTCACTTTATCGCCCTCAGTAGAGTGCTGTGGTCACAGCAACCTCCAACTCCTGGGCTTAGGCAATTCTCTTGCCTCAGCCTCCCAGATAGCTGGGACTACAGGCGTCTGCCACAATGTCTGGCTATTTTTTGTTGCAGTTTGGCCCTGGCCGGGTTCAAACTCACCACCCTCGGTACATGGGCCCAGCGCTCTACCCACTGAGCCACAGGCATCACCCCATAAGTAGGGTTCTTAACCATAACTAGAAATTGTACAGTCACACATTAGTGAAATCACTGGGTGCCCCTGAAGACTATTCTGGAGGGCAGTCTCTGTATGGAGGAACAGACACTGGATTGCTCTGAGCTTGCTTCCCATTTGCCGCGGGCATTTGTTCCTTCACCAGCATGCCCAGTGAACCGACTCCATGCCAGAGTGCTGTACAGGAGTTTACAGCCTGTGGGTTTGAAGATATATGCAGAATAAGTTAATGAGGGTAGAAGGGACCAAAGGCAAAGAAACCAATGTTCATGAAGGAGCAATTACAATACCAGTTATCTATTAGACATTTAACGTAGCTGTGTCATTACATTTGTCAATATTTCTCCAAGGGAAGTGTTATCCATACCATATAGCTGGGCAAATTAACATTGGCCCCAGTTTATGAGTAAAAGAGGTGGGAACTAATGGTATAAAGTCTTTCTGAAAACCTTCCAAAAAGTCTTTCCCAAACTCTTCTCTTTCCCCCACATATAGTGCTATGGAAACACACACACAACAGGGAAGTTACTGGTAGGTAGATGTCAGAAAAGAGAGAGACAGGCCAGGGCTGAGTGGTGAAGGTGCCCTTCCAACTGTGTGCTGCTGGACTTGGGCCTGGAGGCTGAATTTCAGCCAGAAAGGAAAGCGCCAGCAAGAGCCAAGGCCAGGCAGCCTGGAAGTTAGAACCGGCTGCACCATGCTGGCATGTGGGGTACTGACAAGATATGGTGACGAATCTGACTGTCATGGAAAAGGAAATGGCCTTTCATTTTGTAAACAGGGAGGATTTTTTTTATAATTAATTATGTTTTATTAAATCATAACTATATACATTGATGCATTTCTGGGGTTCAGGGTACTGCTTCAATATACAATGTGAAATGCTTACATTGAACTAAGTAACACATCCATCACAATTATACTCATTTCTTAATAGTTTTGAAATGTACCATTGCATCATGCACATTAGGTGAGGTTCCCCCTGAATACCCTCCCTTCTAACAGGGAGGATTCTTGTAAGTTTTTTTCTCATAATGGAAGTAACACAACTAGTTTCATAAACATGATTTTGGCTGCAGTTGGGTAAATACATTCAAGAGAGACTGAAAGCCCAGGGGAGCGAGGGCTGCCCAGGGACAAAGGGGGTGGGCAGTAGAATTTCCTAACTGACCCTAGGGGGAAGGTAAGAAAGAGGAGGCAAGGGTGAGTCTGAGGCTTTTAACATGGAAAAATATGGTGTTTTCTCCTACAACAGAACTGGAGATAAGAGCAGGCTTGAGGGAGGGCAATAACGTTAGTTATAGAATGGTAGAGCTTGTGACATCTGCTGGGTCCTCCACAGAACATGACCAGAGGTCATTAGGAATAATGGGGAGAGCTCAAGAGAACGTTCTGGAGTGGAAGCATGAATCTGGGAGTGACAGTGTGGGCTGGGCTGATCACAGGCTCTGTGAGTGATGGTAGTTCATCTGGAGGTGTACAGCGAGAAGAAAACATGGTGTGTGTGGGTGGGGTGTTGTACCGTGGGCAACACCAAATATTCAAGAAGGGAGAGAGGCCCATGAAAAACATAAAATAAGGAGATGAGAAGGGTAGGAGGAATAGGAAGAGATATGGTAGGCAAGAAGCCAAAGGAAGAGGAAGTTCCACAAAGGGGAAATTATCTTGAGAAGTTCAGGTAATATCGAAGGCCCCAGCTGTGTTTAAGGAGGCCTCAATTTACTCAGTAAACACTTATTGAGTGTCTACTATGTGTCAGGTCCTGTGTAGGATATAGCTGGGGATACAGGAGAGGTCAAAACAGGCAGTCTTCCATCTTGTGGGGCTTTGTCTTGCAAAGGGGGAGGTGGGCGATAACCAGACACACAATTCCACACAAAGCATCACCCCATGCAAGTCCCACGGAGCAGAGGCCAGGGATCAGGTCAGGACAGGAGGCCCTCACGTGCTACTTCAGATAGAGTGGTCAAGACAGTTCTCGCTGTGCTGGTGACATCAGCAAGGTTGGTACCCTATAGATAATGAGAAAAGAGTGTGTTGGGCTGAGGAAGCAGCAGGGGGCACCAGCCATTCTGGAGAAACCCTAGGGAGGCTGGGTGGCCGGAGTGAAGTGAGCTGGAGACACATAGGACCAGAGACAAGGCAGGGACACAGCTGGGGTCCCCTTTGCAGCCAGAGCAAAGATGTGGGGTTTCATTCTGAGTGTGATGGAAGTCATGAAGACTTGAAGCAGAGGGCTAGGGGGATCCACCTCACCAGGACATCGGGCTGCTGTGGGGGGCGGGGAGGTGGGAGGAAAGTGGGGCACATAGTGGGGGAAGAGCTTCCACTGTGCAGAGACAGGGGAACCCACTGGTTTCCAGCAGCCAGTCTCTGTCAGTCTGGCACCAGGTCGCCTGTCACTCAGAGTCCGCCTGTGCTGTCCTCCCACAGCACTTGTCCCATGACATGGGAAGTCTTTGTTCACCCTTATGTCCCCTTCACTAGACTGGGGGCTGCTTAAGGATGGGGGCCTGTCTGCCTGCTTCCTGCAGTATGACTCTCCCAGTGTGAGGACGAGCTCCAGAAGGCACTCAGTAAATGTGGTGCAGCAGGACCCCATAAATGTCTGCAAGTCACCACCCTGTGGGAACTGGTACCAGTTCTTTTCCCCAGGGTGCGGGCAGGTCCTTGATTCTCAAAGGACACTCAAGTCCAGAATTTCTAGAGTTAATAGAATTTTATATCCTCACCTATCACTGACATGTGTTTCGGATTTCTGTTTCAGGAGAATTTAAAACCTGCACAATCCTTTTCAGTGACGTGGTGACATTTACTAACATCTGTGCTGCCTGTGAGCCTATCCAGATAGTGCATATGCTGAACTCCATGTACTCCAAGTTTGACAGATTAACCGGCGTCCACGAGGTCTACAAAGTGCGTGTCTGGGCGGTGGGGGGTTTGCAGGGTCAATGAGGTCTACAGAGGGCGCGCCTGTGCAGTGTGGGTTTGCATGTGCTGACTCAGGGCAGCTGCTTGCTTCAGTGTTCCTTTGCCTCTGCCTGCAGTAGTTTGAGGTTTGATGTGGATATTAGAGGGGTGAGGGGAAGAACTAAAGGGAAAGGAGAAGTATTTAAGGAATTTTAGTTTTGCAGGAATCCTTCCAGCATACTCAGTGTTAAGATGGTACTCTGGTGAGGGCCAAACTCCATTTTCCTGGAAAATAGTTCTCCTACCCCTAAATTCAGCAGAAAGTCTACTCCAAATAATGTATAATATCTAATGCACGGTATCATCTGAGGACCCCAGGAGCTTCATAGTCTCTGGCCTTGTTCCCACTAAAAGTAGAAGGGCCTTTTCTCTCTTATGGCTGTTTCCTGAATCATTTTCCCTCTCACTCCTCCCTGGTGCTCCTCAGACCCCCAGCAAAGAGTCATATACCCTATGACTCTTTGGTCCTAAGACTCATATGGTCCTTTTGTCAAAATGTGGAAAATGGCAAAAATGTTTAGTGACATATTTAGTGCATAAAGAAAACCTGCTGAATTCCCCTATTTTCTCCTGACAGGTAGAAACGATAGGAGATGCTTACATGGTTGTCGGGGGCGTCCCGGTGCCTTCTGGGAGCCATGCTCAACGAGTGGCTAACTTTGCCTTGGGGATGAGGTTTTCTGCAAAAGAAGTGATGAATCCTGTGACTGGAGAACCCATCCAGGTAGAGAGCAGCTGTTACCTTGCTTACTGCCAGACATCTCACACACAAAAGTGCAGCTTCACTTACCTCCATAGGTGTTTGCTGGGTATGTAATAGTAACTAAGATGGGCAATTTCTTCCAACTCTTTTCCTCCCTTGCATGTGGTCCTCATAGAGACATGAGTCAGGCTGTTGTAGTCTCAACCCCTCTGAAATTTCAACAGAGGCTATTTACCCAGACCAGCTCAATCCGTCTTGAAAGCCAGATCATTTATAATGTGAGCGTTTCAACACGTAGTGTAGTGGGTTTGCTGAACTCTTTGACTCCTACTCAGGGAGCTTTGTGCCTCCAACAACTCAGCTTTGTGCCTGAGTCAGAACTCAGGCAGAGGTGTGCAGCTGCCCATCCGAGTCCGGCCCAGCCCTGCCTTGCCCTAAGATACATAGAGTGGCTTTCCTTCTGCCACATGACCACGAGCAAGACATCTGCTTGCCTTTCTCACTGGCAGCTACTCTTCCAAGTATGGAAGTTTGTTCAACACTACAAGAGTTGGACAGCTTTGGAAGTGAAAAGTAAATGTCCTCTTCTGCCCACTAGCAGACCCTTGTCCCTGGGATGTCTGAGAGAGGCATCTCCCTCCTTTGTCTCTAGATCCCTCCCTTGCTCCTGTTCATCTGAAATTAAAAGTAAACTAAATAGCTGACTAAAAAGAAATAAAACTAGTGATAACATGGAATATGATTTTTCCAACTTATAACATTTCTACAGGAGATTCTGAAAATGTGCTCCACTCACATTCACCATAGTGGTTTAGAAGCTGTGAACCAGTGCAGAGCCTGGTTACAGCGTCCACTATAGAATTCTAAGCAAAATCTGCCATTAGGAAATCGCAAGAACAAAACAGCCACAATACTTGACTCATTGTAAACACACACTATGCATCAGTGGAATAAAACCCTAGTGTAATAAAAAATCAGGGTGGGAAGTAGTGAGGGAACGGTTACAAGAAGGTGAAGGTTAAGACAGGAGTGTTTTAACTAAAGGGCCCTAATGTGAGTCACTGAATAAAAAGAAACTGAGAACATACAGTTGTATAAATGGAGAGAGTCGTGTGTGTGTGTGTGTGTGTGTTCATGTGTGAAGGGGCCATAGCACCAGGGGATAAAATAATGCTTTGACAACAGGAATGAAATTAAACAATGAATTCCTTAAACTCTCAAGATATATTTAATAAGAAAAAAACAGAAAAGGTTGTTAGCAATACCAAGGTAAGCAGACAGAAGAGCATCATTAAATATGCAGCAAAAACACTATATCATGTGGGCTTATTTGAAAGAACTAAAGAAACCTTTTCTTTTGTAAAATAACTGTGCTACCATTTCTACATTTTAAAATCTAGTACTCACGGAGATCATCTATTCTTTCATTCCTACAGCCTTTACTATACATGTACTAAGATCCTTCTAAGAATGAGACAGTATTATGAACTGTTTCAAAGGATTCCAAGAAACATATGACAGTCTTTTTTCCTAGAGGAATTCATAAACTTATTTCAGGGAGAAGAAAACTCCAGAAACACAAAAAACAATACGAAAGTCTGATTAGGATTTAGAAATCTGCACCTATGCTAGCAGGGTTTATTGTTGTTGTTTTGTTTTGTTTGTTTGTTTGTTTTTATTATTCTACCAGAGAGCAAAGAAATCTAAAAGAACTAAATTTCAAAATGTGACAAGCACTTTCAAACAGAAGACACCACACTACTATTCATTCCTGGTATCACAGCAAGAGAAGCAGTCTACCAGAGGTGAGGGTAGAGAGGAGTTAGCCTAAATATTAGTAAACTTTGTGGGGTTTTTTTTTTTTTTTTTTTTTTTTGCAGTTTTTGGCCAGGGCTGGGTTTGAACCTGCCACTTCTGGCGTATGGGGCTGGTGCCCTACTCCTTTGAGACACAGGTGCCGCCCAATATTAGTGAACTTTTAATGGTCAGATGGGGACTGGAATGGCAGGTTAGAAAGCTCCCCAGCCACAGAGTCTGGATTCACCCAACAGCACAGGCCTTCACTGAGTGCTTGGGGTTATTCACCCAAAGTGTAGAGACAAGAGAGGAAAATTTAGGGAGCTTCATATTCCTTAATGTGTTTGTGACCTTTCCCAAATGCAAGGCAGTGGCCCAGTAAAAACTAGTGTTAGAGAACTGAGCAAAATCCCTCTGAGACACTCTTGGTCTGCCCCAAGTGCACCTCAATAACCCTTTGAGGTCTGGGAGCAAGGAAGAATGGTGCAGGAAAGTCTCTCCCAAGGTGCAGAGAGTGAAGGAGGGACTGAAGAGCATAGAGACCCCTGAGCATCTCACTGTTGGGCTGCAAAACAGAAAGAGATAACCCACAATTCAGAAAGCTGGAGGCTTGGCATTCTAGCTGTAGGAGTTTTTTAGAGCCTTACTAGTGCTTAGATTCTATGCTCTGTGAAGTAAAAGTCTGATCCAGCCTTTATAATATTTGAGAACAGTGGTATAGGGAATCTATAAATACCTCTGGAAAGTCCATGCCCAACTCAAATACAGATTAGATTCACTTACTCCTCTCCCCTCTGGGAGCCTGATTCTGAAGGGGTACGACCTTTGCTGAGGTCTACTTCAGTTTCTGCTATGCTTTCTCATACAATGTAGGACATACAATTAAATGATGAAAAACATGAGATGCAATAAAAAACAAGAAAATGGTAATGCATTGTATGGCCAACAGAGAAAATGGCCAATAGAAGCAGGTCCAGAGTTGGCTAGATGTTGGAATTAACAGATAGGTGTTTAAAAATAACTCTGGTAAATACTTTAAAGGGTCTATTAGAAAAGGGCAAAATGAAGGTAAACAGATGGGTAATGCATATCTATATCAATATCTATTAATTTTTCTATGTCCATCTAATAGAAACAAAAACTTTGATATGAGAAATTGGAAATAATAATTTTATGGGCTTAAAAGAGACTATATGATACAACAGAGGAAAGAATCAGAGAATTTGAAGACAGAGAAATAGAAATATCCAAACTAAAACCCAAAGAAGAAAACAGGAAAAAATAAAAGGAAGAGGGTACTCTAGATCTACATGACAATGTCGAATGCACCCCGATCTGTGGAACTGGAGTGCTAGAAGAAGAACAGAGTGAGAATGGGTCAGAAGAAGCATTTGAAGAGATAATGGGCTGAGTATAGTGGTTGACACCTAATAATCCCAGCACTTAGCACTTTGGGAGGCCAAGACAGGAGAATTTGCTGAGGCTAAAAGTTCTAGACCAACCTGGGCAATAGAGAGACCCTGACTCTATAAAAAAAAATTTGCAGGGTGTAATGTGTATCTATAGTCCCAGCTACTTAGGAGGCTGAAGCAGGAGGATCACTTTAGCACTGGAGTCCAGGGCTGCAGTCAGCTATGATTGTGCCACTTCTCTCAGCCTGGGTGACAGGTTGTCACTTATCTCTATCTCACCCTATCTCTAAAAATTAAAACAAAATACATTTAAAAATAGATAATGGCCACAATTTTCCAACATGGATAAAGGATATCAACCCACATATCCAAGAGTTTAGCAAACATAAGGAGAAACACAAAGACAGCCACTTTTACTCGGAGAATACCGAAAGTGCCACCGAGTGCAATAAGGCCAGAAGAAATGTAAAACGTAAAGGTTGGAAAAGAAGAAGTAGGGGCAGTGCCTATGGCTCAAAGGAGTAGGGCGCCGACCCCATATGCTGGAGGTGGTGGGTTCAAACCCAGCCCCCGCCAAAAACTGCAAAAAAAAAAAGTGTTTGGAAAGAAGAAGTAAAATTATCATTAGTCACAGACTCAATATTGGTACACCTAGAAAACCTTATACCATACTGTATAAACTGCAAAAAGTCTACAAGATCCAATAAATGAGTTTAGTAAAATTATAGGATAAAATGCACAAAAATTAAATTTTGTATAGTAAGGACAAAAAAATGGAAAATTCAATAAAAACAAAATAAATCTATTTAAATTCCTGGGAATAAATCTAACAAAAGATACCCGTGATCTCCATGATTATAAAATATTGCTAAGGGAAATTTTAAAAAGACCTAACTAAATGGAGCAATATACCATATTCATGATTGGAAAGTATATTTAAGCTGTCCATTGTCCCCAAGTTTGACTTAGGAGAATACCAATCAAGATCCCTGCAGGATTCTTTGAAAATATTGACAAGTTGATTTTAAAACTTATATGGAAATGTGAAAACTCTAGACTAACCCAAATAATCTTAGAAAATAATAAAATTAGAGGATTTACTCATACTACCTAATTTTAAGATTTATTGTAATCTAAAGCAACAGTAAAAAGTAAAGTGGGATTGAGAAAGTAGATAAATAGATCACTGGCCCAGTGTGGAGTGTCCAGATACAGATTACACATCTAAGGCAATTGATTTTTGACCCAGGCAGCAAAGAATTGAGAAGAAAAGGTAATGTTTTTTTAAAGAAATTTATGTTACAATTAAATATGGAAAGAAAAAAAAAGTACCTCAATTGTATATCACCCCATATGCAAAAATTGATTTGCTGTGTACCGTGAACCCAGACATAAAAGCTAGAACCATGAAAGCTCCTTAATGGAAATGTAAGAAAATAGCTTTATGACTTTGGGGCAAACAATGATTTGTTTTTCAGATAGGACACAAGAAACACTAATCACTACTGGGGAAAAAATGATTAACTTCATTTCTATGGGCTGAATTATGTCCTACCAAAATCTATAAGTTGAAACTCTAACCCTCAGTACCTCAGAATGTGACAGTATTTGGAGATAAAGTCTTTACTTAATAAGATTAGGCTTTAAGGGTGAGCCCTAATCCAATCTGACTGATATCCTTATAAGAAGAGGACATTTGGACACACACAGAGACACTAGGAACACACGTGTTCAGAGGACAGGCTGTGTGAGGACACAGCAAGAAGACAGCCATCTGCCAGAGGGGGAGGCTTCAGGAGGAACCACAGCTGCTGCGTCCCTACCTGGGACTTCCAACTTCCAGTTGGAAAATATAAGTATCTATTGTTTAAACCACGAAGTCTACGGTATTTTGTTATGACAATCCTAGCAAACTAATTCATTCATCAAAATTAAGAATTTCTGTTTAATAAAGGAAGTGAAATACAAACTCTCAGACTGAGAAAAATGTGTCTAACAGACACATACACACACCCATATAGCATATCAAAATATGTCTGAAACTGACGCCATAAACGGTAAGAGGTAAACAACTCAATTTCTAAAATAGGCAATAAATTTGAACAGACTTTTCACAAAAGAAAATACATGAATGGACATTGTGTGCATGAAAATGTGTTTAACATCATTAGTCACCAATTTAATGCAAATTAAAACAACAAGGACGTATCATTTCACACCCACTAGAAGACCAAATGGTGGCAGAAAGGCAGAGCAACTGGAAGTGTCATGTTGCTGAGGGGAGCGCAAAATGGTACAAGTTTGCAGAATTGTTGGGCAGGTTTTTTGTTTGTTTGTACTTCTATAAAATTAAATATGCATCTACATTGTGATCCAGAAATTCCACTAATTTACCTAAGAGAAGTGAAAACATATGTCCCCCAAAATATCTATGCAGAAATGTTCATAGCAGCTCATAATTAAGATCACAGTAGCTTCAAATTGAAAAAAAATCTAAATGTACATGAAAAGAAAATGGCTAAACAAATTGTGGTGTATTCTTACAATAAAGTACTACTAACCGATAGAAAGAATGAAATACTAACACAGTATGGATGAATCTCAAAAACATTATATTGAATAAATGGAGGCAGATATAGAGCAGTTTATAATATATTATCTCATTTATGTGAAGTTGTAGAACAGATAAATTATCCTTTGGTAAAAGAAATAAGAAAGTAGTTATCTCTGTTGGATGAGATGGGGAGAGAGCACAAGGTAATTTTGCCAGGTTTCACATTTTATTTGCATAAAGGTACGGGGATATATGTGCTTGTCAAAACTCATGGAACTAGGCTCAGCACCTGTGCTCAAGTGGCTAAGGCACCAGCCACATACACCTAAAGGCGGCGGGTTCGAATCCAGCCTGGACCTGCCAAACAACAATGATGGCTGCAACCAAAAAATAGCCAGGTGTTGTGGCGGGCGCCTGTGGTCCTAGCTACTTGGGAGGCAGAGGCAGGAGACTCGCTTGAGCCCAGGAGTCGGAGGTTGCTGTGTGCTGTGATGCCACAGCACTCTACCCAGGGGGACAGCTTGAGGCTCTGTCTCAAAAAAAAAAAAAAAAAAAAACTCATGGAACTAAACACTTTAATATCTATGTTTTTAACATTTTATTTAAGTTATACCTCAATTTAAAAGTAAAAGCAAGGGTATTAGATGATGTCTTTTAAGCGGGTGCTCTCTCTACACAGATCAGAGTGGGGATACATACTGGACCAGTCTTAGCAGGGGTTGTGGGTGACAAGATGCCACGGTACTGCTTGTTTGGTGACACCGTGAACACAGCCTCTAGAATGGAAAGTCATGGGCTTCCAGACAAAGTGCACCTCAGCCCCACAGCCTACAGGTAACCTTTCATTTTATTCATGCCTTCCTTTGTCCCTCCCTCCTTCTAGAATTTACAGAGTGCTCTGCCACCATGGGATGAGGGTAGTGCAGAGAACAACAAATTGTAACCCACAGGCTATAACCAGTCTACTACTGCTTTTTGTAAATAAAGTTTTATTGGAACACAGCCATCTTCTTTTATTTATCTACTGACTATGGCTGATGTCAGGCAGAGTTGAGTGAATGGGACACAGACCATATCGCCCACAAAGTCTAAAATATTTCCCATGTGGTCATTCATAGGAAAAGTTTGCTGACTTTGGCCTAGCAGCAGCAGAAAAGACAGTTCCTGTTAATTATTTTTAACATAGGATAAGTATGATGATGGAGAGATGCATAAACACACTTATGGTTTCTCGAGCACTTGCTGAGAGAGGATATCTAGGAAAAAATAAGGTCTTAAAAAACAAAGTCTTCTCCTGGGAACCCAAGGACACTCCTACAAAGTCCTCCCTGTGGTGACTCAGGAATTTGTACTAGAAACTTAACTTCCTGGCATCTCGAAACTAACACTTGCTTCCACTTCTGTAAAAGCTGGGCCCTGCTTCTCCAGCTCGACTCAAACTGCCCAATGAGAAGGGTATCATGGACAAGGAACCCTTGTCTAGAAATAAAAGGAAGAGGACAGGGCCAGTTGGGGAGCTGGGCCTTTCCTGGGCTTTAGGCCACTGTGGCTCCACTGGCTGAAGTAAAGCCCTTCCATGGATGTCTTGGTGTTCAGGTGATTCTCTGTTTCCGCTGGGCCTGCGTCTTTCTGCAACACTTCAATAGGCTACATTCTATTCTGAATTCTTTTACATATGTTAATTCATTTATTGCTAGAACTATATGAGATATGTTATTATTATTTACAGACTTAAAAAATTAAGCATAAAAATATTATTAACTTGCCGCAAGTCCAAGTAGGCCTGGACCAGGTTTCCGGGGCCTGCTCATTACCTACTGTGCCACCTGCCTGACGGGAGATGGGGAATGCGGGGGGACTCGCGGGGCCCCCGCCCAGTGAAGGGAGGCTTTGTGGAGGAGATTCATGAGCTGAGTTCTAGGAACAAGGAGCTCCAGGGCAGGATTTAGCTAAAATGGGGGCCTTGGGCATAAATGCCAAGCAGTGCTGGCTCATGGGCAGAATAGTGAGGGCCAGCAGGGTTCAGGGTGAGAAGAGCTCTTATGAGTGGTTTTAGGAAAGAGGAATGGAACAAAAATGTCAAATGTAGAAACAAGAAATGAAAATGTTCACTTTAGGGTCATTATCAAAGGTGGATGGTAGGGAATGGTAGGGATAGGCACTGGGCTGAGGAGAGAACAGAGGGATGATTTGTGTGGATAGCGCAGGTGAGCAGTGGTTGGTCTGCTTCCATTCAGGATGGATGAGACATAGCTGCCGGGCTGAGGGGAGGGTGCAGATGGAGGGGAGGAAGGCAAGAGCAATGTGGCCGACAGGGTGAGGCCCAGAGGGAGTAGGAATGGGGCGTGAATGCAGTGCCCCTGAACAAGCAAGATGGGGTGGGGTGGGTGGGTGGGGGGGTGTTGCAGCCATGGAATGAGAAGTGGCAGGCTCTCACCTGTGATGACTGCTATTTGGAGATGAGTCAGATCACAAAATAGCGGGCCTGGGGGGCGCCTGTGGCTCAAAGGAGTAGGGCATCGGCCCTATATGCCAGAGGTGGCAGGTTCAAGCCCAGCCCCAGCAAAAAATTGAAAAAACAAACAAACAACAACAAAAAAACAAAACAGCAGGCCCAGCCAGCAGTTGGCAGGTGAGGGCAGCAGGTGCCAGATGGGGGCCTGTGGGGTGTGGTGGAGGTCTACACTCTCCCTGAAAGCAGTCGAGGACAGCGGCGGGTACACAGGAGTGCCAAGGCAGGTGGCTGTGAATTTGAATCATCACTCGGCCCAGTGTCTGTCTGGATTTTTCTAACATTGCCAGTCTTGCCAGTAAATGCCCCATATCTTGTCTCACTTCACGTCTCTTCCCTGTACTCTTTGGTTCCTTGGCAGACAGAAAGCCTGGTGGAAGAGCTTGGGTGGTTAGAACGAGCATGATGACAGCCGAGGGTGCGTGGGGATGATGGAGAGAAGAGTGCTGATAGCCAGGAAGTCCAGTGCTGCAGAGCACGAGGAGAGGGTGTGTGCACACGGGCTTGAAGGCCCCGTGTGTAGGAGCATGAGAGATGCACGAGAGGGATGAGCTGGACGGGGGAATGCTGGGGGAAGGGCCAGAGGGCTTAATGTGTCCTCTGTGCCCTCCTCAGCCTTTGACACCCTGTTCCCAATGTCTAACCTTCACTCTCCCACTGCTTTTGCCTGTTTCAGCAGGCCTGAGTGATGCCTCGTCCAGGAGCACCCCTGCCATCATGTGCCCTGGGCCCCCAACTTCTCCTGTGTCACCCTTTGCATTTGGCCAGTTCTTGAGCTACGTATCTTTCATAGCTGGTCCATTTTTTTTTCTCTGTGCAGAGCCCTGGAAAATCAAGGGTTTGAAATCATTGAGAGGGGTGAAATTGAAGTGAAAGGAAAAGGGAAAATGACCACATACTTTCTGATTCAGAATCTGAAGGCCACAGAGGATGAGATCATGGGCCGCCCTACAACTCAGGCTGATCACCAAGGTGAGCAAAAAAGAGAAGTCTTGTCATGAGTGTTGAACATTTTATGACCTGAGATTTGTCTAGCGTGGTCCTGGGGTCCTCCGGGCCAATACAGGCTTGTCCCTGTCCACCACCAGGTGCCAAGGGTCAGCTCGTTCGTTTTCCCCGAGCACTCATCTCCTGCATACTGGGTATTGGCACTTTCCTTGAGTTGGGCTGATGGATCTGACCTAAGTTTCTGAGGTTCTTCTCTCTCCCAGGAAGGAGCTTTTCCATAACACTGTCCTGTAGCTGAGGAATAATTTCAACGCACTCTCTCTGCTTCTGCCTCAGGGGAACCTCCAGAATAGACCTTCCTCACACACTGGGACCCTCTGCTTTCCAACTTTCCAAAATTGGGAAGAAGAACAAAATTTGTGACTCACTCAGTTCCAGGGATGACAAGAGGGTTGGAGTCTAGAGTTAAACAAGCCAGGGCAAAGTGGGACCAGGAGTCACTGTTTGGCTCATGGCATCCCAAGAAAGAAGGTGGAATCTGAAAATAAGGTCTCTGTATCAGCTGTAAGCAGAGGCCCACACGCAGAGGCCTTCAGCTCAGCCCTGCTATGACGGGAGTGCTGACCTGAAGGGGAACCCCAGCAGCAGGGGGAAGACCTTTTGGAAGCTCTCAAGTGAACTGGAGAAGAAGCTGATCTCGAGCCACTCCAGAGAGCCACATGGAAAGTTGTAAACTCAGGGGTTGCTCTGTACACATCAGATCTCTGCAGGTGTCTCTTTCAGACATATGGGTTATAATCTCTACGGAGTGTCCTAAAAGTCACCCCGAAAGTTACCCTACATATGGAAAATGGGCAACTATAGCTAAATGTACCTTTATTTACAAAATATTCATTAAAAATTTTTACAAAATATAGACAAACTATTCTCTATGTGTTGGCCACCTCTTTGGAAGTAATATTTTATAAACATAAGTACATTTAGCTACAATCTCCCATTTTCCCTATGTATGGTGACTTTAAGGGTGACTTTTGGAAATGCTGTATTTTAAAACGTAGGACTATCCCAACAAAGAGATAGATAGTTGAAGAACTTTTAAAATTGTTCTCATAAGGCTTCCATTCTAATATCAGCTCAGCGAATTATCCCTGTGAGATAATTGGGTTGTTTTGGCCACATTTTACTGATGAAGACACTGAGATAGATTTAAATTAAAAATGAAAAATAACTTTGGCTAATAAAAACCAGAAATAACCCTCACTAGTGTTTTTGACCCTCAAATTTCTAGGTTCTGGACGACTCACCCATCAGTATCTTGAGAGCAGGTGCAGGTGCTCATTCTTCTTCTGGGCGATGTGTGTGTGAACCATATTAAACATCTTTAATTTCCCTAGTACGACGCTGAACAGCCCGAACTTCTGTCCAGCCCCACAATAGACACCTGAAGAACATCCAAGGGCTGCCGCTGCTATTCCGAGGCATCAAAGAGGGCCCCTACCTCAGGGCCAGGAAGGCTGCTTGAGCGTCCGTGCCCACAGCCCTTCCTCTCTTGCTCTTTTGCAGAAGCAGAAGCTGAGGGAAATCATGACAGGACACTTGTTGTGAGGAATGCCGATGGTTGGCAACTGCTCTCTGAGGGGGACACCACAGGTGGTAAGTACATAGATGTGCCTGGTGGGGGTGGGAAAGACCCCAAAAGGAACAGTGCAGGTGGTGTTGGGGTCCTGGGGGCAGGATGCCTCTGACTTACTGCTTGCTGTATTTTGAATAATCTTTGCTTGTGAGCTCCCTGACCCCCAAGTATCCTGGATCCCTCATTCTCCACTTTGGCCTCATCCAAAATAAACTCTGCTATGCAAAAGAATTCTTGACCTCCCTGTACCTACAAACCCAAATTCCCTCGGACCTCTCGGCCTCAGTAGTGTGCCTATAACTGAGGGGCACTCAAGACCTCAGCTGTGCTTCGTGGACGGCACAGCTTACCCCAGTCATCCTCATCCCACTTCGCTCTGTGGTGGGAGGGTTGGGAGGATTTTCTTAATTTACACTTATTCTTGACTGCCTTGGTGAGTTACTCAGCTCCAGCAAGAGCCACTGTAGGGACTTACACAGCTTGGTTTGTCATGTGAGGTCACAAAGTGATGAAGAGTCAGAGATGGGCGCCCAGTGTCAACTGTCTCCCTCTGGACTCTCATGCCAGGCACCCCGTGTGGAGCTGGGCCAGGCAAGGCAGCTGTGCGTGTTTGGTAGAGAGGATCAGGCCTGTGCATTTTTCAAAAACCTTTTCTTGTCATTGAGAGAATTTCTTAAGACAAATGAGATAATCTATGTGATGCGTTAGAACAGCTTAATAATCCATATAGAGTTTGGCTACTGTTGTGTTAATAGTTACTAGATGGCATCTCTAAAGCTGAGCATTGCTGGAACCCTTGGTCTTGGGCACCGTCCTGATGCCTGAAGACTTTCCTCTAGCTTGACCCCAGAATCCAAGGGAGTGGGAAGACCAGTGCCGTCTGTTGGTGTCTGGTGTCACTCTGACCCTAGAGTCACATGGAGGTGTAGATTCTGAGACAGGTGCTCAAAGCAAAATTTGTGCTTTACTTAAAGGCCCCCCTTCCCTGCCCCTCCCTGCTCTTCCCTGGAGTTTCGAGTTCTGGCAGTTTCCAAGCCCTGAGTAACCACCTGACAGTCATAGGTCCACCCAACAGTGCTCCTGGGAAGGCTGGTGCTGCCTTCCGGGGATCCGTGGAGCTCCTGGACTACATGCAGCAGGTCCCTGCCTCCAGGCAGCCAGTGTTGTAGAGGGAGACAGAAACGACTGACATGTGCCAACTAAGTAAGTTAATTTGGGTGTGAGGAATGTTAAGAAGAAAATGAAACTGAGTGGTGGAGAAGAGGGTGAATGAAGCCTTCTACGAGGGAGGGGATTTTCAGCTGAGACTCAGACTAAAGGAAAGAGCCCTCATAGGGCCACCTGGGTAGAGGCTTCAAGCAGCATGTGCCCAAGGCAGACACAAGCATGGCACATCAAAAGAGAGGAGGAGGCCCATGTGTTTAGAGAGGGCTGGAGGTGGGCCGGGCCATGGGCAGTCTTGGCCTTGTACCTGCTTATCTCATGCAGAAATCATAAGCACAAAACAAGGTGCAGGTAAGGAAGGACCAGGCTTCCTGGGGACCCCAGAGGGAGGAGGCCACTGCCATCTGAATCCCTAAATGGCTGCTCCATAAACAGATCCAAAGGGCAGGTCTAAGCAGTCCTTATGCTCCAAGGGGCACACACAATTGTCTTTCAAACCGCTGTTGCATGGGGGTCTCTCTACAGGGGAGCATCAAGGCCGGCAGGGCTGGGAGGCTTAGGGGTGGGAGATAGAAGTTTAGCAGCTGGGCTCCAATTCAGCCCTAACTGTGACAAAATCCAACACCAACAACTGGAGGAGGAAGAACTCAAGATGCCCCAGTTTTAGGAGAAAACTGCAGGGTGGAGACCTGGCTTTGGGGGCTACTGCTTCATGCCAGGCATTCACACACATCATCTTATTTGATACAAATGGGTCACGGTGCCACTCCCACCACAGAGGGAAGAAACTTGGCGATCAGAAAAGTTGCATGATTTATATAAGGTCCTATAGCTAGCAAGTAGAAAACATAGGATTTGATCTTCGTTTGGGGCTTGTTTTTCTTGGGCAGACCTCGTCCCTGTGCATTTGCTCTGAGCATCAGACCCAGATGGGTCCACAGTTCCCTGAGTGGCAGCTGTGGCGGGTGGATCAGCTGGGTGCATTGGCCCCGCCGTGTGCCTCTCAGATCCCCTGGTCCTGTTTGTGTGGCTTTCTGGTCAGCGTGATCAGCAGGTGTGCTGCCAAGGAACAGCTCACACAGGGGACACACGGTCTGCTGTGCACCCAAGGCCTGGGCTCTTGGCCCCAGAGCCATCCAAACCTTCTGAGCCAGATCCCATTTTTCACAACTTCCCCAGGGAACTGAGCTTGAGTTTGCTGCCAGTGCTGGCTCTGTCCTTATCTGATGGGTGTCAGTAGTCATGGGACTGAGCCTTGTAGGAGTCCCTTCACCTCCTGCCACAGGACTTGCTTTCATCATGGTGCAGGTCCCAGCTTCGATCTGATACATCACACTTACCACTGAGGCAGGTGAAGGATGCTAGAGAGTCACTGCGGCAGGCCCCTCTAGGCACCACCCCAGGGCTTGTCCCACCTGGCCCTTATGTGGGCCCCCCTCTAGGCACCACCCCAGGGCTTGTCCCACCTGGCCCTTAT